GAAGCTAAAAATTTTAAATCCTTGGTTTGGTAATATGAAAACAAAATGAAAATGTTAAGGTTATTTATGAAAGAATTAGCAGTTCCCACTGCTGTTACATCTGTAATTTGCCAATAAAGGAAATACAATAAATATAAAATATTTAAATATAAAACATAAATATTGTATTGTAATACAAATATATATTTCATTTATATAAAAATCTAATAAAACAAAGCTTAGAGAGATTGACTCAATTGTTGAGAGCACACCAGAATGCTTGCAAAGGTCCAAAGGCAAAAGATATATGAATGAAGAACAGAGAGCACGGGAGGAAGGCGACTCATCAGATGTGCCCTGATCACAGAAACTGGCAAACTTTTTTTAAAGGGGATGATTTATAAACAACAAAGTACATAATGATAACACTCAGAAATTTTAATTGTTTACATAAAAGTTTGAGATCAGATCATTTATATTACATATAAACAATGCTGTATGAAACCGACACACATGGAAAAACTAGAATAAGAAAATGAGCTACAGATACAAAAACATAAAGAAATAGAAAACAGAAAAATGGAAGCACTATGGTCAAAATAATTATACTACACACAGAAAGGTGGGAAACACATATAGGTGTGTATTAATCCTAACTTAGGAATTAAAGAGACAAGAAATTTAGCTTTCTTAATTCCTTAAAAGGCAATAAAATCCTCAAAATAAAAAAGTAAAAAAATAAATAATCAAATTAAACATGAAGTACTATATCTTTTTAATCTTTTTTTTTTCAGTATTCCAAACTCTGTCTGGAAACTTGATTAATTATAAAATGTCTTTCTCTCTTATTAAGTTTTATAAAATGTTTTCTAAGTTTTCTTTCATATGTGAATATGTTAGAATATTTAATAATTTCCATGACTATTCTCATTATCATATCATATTTCTAAATAAGTTCCCTTTCTTTTTTATATAATTTCTCTACAGGATAGAGAGGAAGTAGCAAAAGGACAATAAAAACTGAATTCCACATCTCTCATTCTATTTCATCCATTTTTAGAAAACTAGACTTCATATATTCAACACAACTGGTAATATGAAACAAAAAACAATTTAACAGACCACTTAAGTTGTTTATAAAAACAAATTTATTATTGCATAAACTATAGCAATTAGTACCATTTTTTTTCAAGGGACAAAATTGGCATGGTTTTCAAATTGCTTAAAGATCTACATTCTGGTTGCATGCTTGTAATTAAGATAAATTATCAACTTTGAAGGTGTTTTCCTATGCACATTTTGTATCTTAGAGTTACTCTAAGATGTATCTAAGTTACTCTAAGAAACCAGAGTCTAAAATTTGAATGGGGGAAGATGAGAACTAACAATGTCTTCAAAATAATCCTAGTTATCCATAAAACATGAGGTAATTTTATTCAAGTATCAATAGGAAAATAATTAGAAGATATACCAGAATACCAATACATAACCACCTACAAGTACTCTTCATAAAAGAAAACATTAAAACAACTGTTTTTTAGTCAATATTTTGACGTAATAATGACAGCATACTTTAAGTGGCCAAAGCAATATGAGTTCTTTAAAGAAACAGAAATAATGGGAGTGGAGAATCATTCAAAATTTTACCACCAATATATAGCGCTCCTCTGTTTCAGGGAAAAAAATTCGCATACAATTCATTGTACTTTAAGTGCATTTTATTGCATTTTTTCATAATTTCCTGTTGTAACATTTTTCCTTTTCAACCAAAAGCAAAAATCAAAACAACAATCCAAAAAACGTAATGCACTTGAGTAATACTAAAAAACAAAATCAGAGGTAACAAGAAACTTGAGGACTGGTAATTTCAAAATGTTAATGTATAATCGATACTTTGCCTTTCTATTCCTGAAAATCATCCCTAAGCATTAAGAATGACCTATGTACTAAAAATAGAAACAGTGATATTCTAGACCTCCAGGTCAACAGAATAGTTCCAAATCAGTGATGATGAGCAAAAGGGTATGCAGTAGGATACAGAGAAAATAATCCTTGAAGAATTAATCCAGACACTGAAGATTTCAAGAAGAACTAACAGACATACCTTCCTCTGAGGGTGGGGGCCATATATTTTTGTATTGCAGGCATGATGCAACAGTATCGGGTAAAAGCATCTGTGGAAGCAGTTTGGTTCCAAAAAGCAGAGAAAGTGCAGTTAAAAGAGGAAATATACAGAAAACACATATTCTCAGAAAGCAATCTACATCCGTGGAAACAGAGAAGTCAAGTCTTTCATTGTGGGAAAGAAAAACAGAAGAGAACAAACAACAAAAAACCCACATTGCCTGTCTCCACTGGCTAGACCAAAAAACAAACAAAAAAACCTCACTTTGTTCAGTGGCACAAAAAACAAAACAAAACTGGGCAACCACAGGTTCTGTATAAAGATACTACAAGAGAAAGATTAAAAAGAAAACCAATGTAACAACGAGAACACACACTAAGAGCATGTTGCCATAAGAGAAGTGAAAAATTGTGACCAAGCATTTCACCGTGAATTTTTTAAATGTAATAAATAGCAACCACTTCTTCTAAGCAATTACATAGTGCATAATGCAAGACATTAAGAAGAGGTTAGCAAGGAAAGAACAAGAGATGAATTGTAGACTTTCAATGCTCAACCAAATGCTGTAATCAAAAACAGTAGAAGTACCATAAAAATAAAGGAGAAATTGGAAGTTACACAGGGGAAGAGAGGGTACTAAAAGCCTAAGAAGACAGCAAAAATTGAAGTGATAAATACAAACTAAGTAATGAATATTAATAAAGAATCAAAATGAATTAGAGAGGAATTGTTGAGTAGATCACAAATAAAATAAATCCAACCTACATATAAAAGGCATCTCTGAATAACAAAATTGTCATAATAAGATAGAGCAAATATTTAAAGATATAATGCAAGAAATGCTTCCTGAAATAAAAGAAGACTTGAATCTACATCTTGAGGAGGAAGAGAGGACTGATACAAAAATAACCATGTCTCTGAGCAAAAGAGTCAAGAACATTCAGTGCTAAGATAACATTCTAGTGAAGTCATTAGACTTAAAATACAAATGAAGACTCCTTTAGTTAACCAGGCACATAAGATTTCCCTAAATTCTACAAGGTTAAAACAAAGAAGAGCAATATGGTCGTAAGTCGAACTGTACTTCAAGTAGAAGGCAGGAGGCAAACACTTCTGCACGGGCAAGGTTTCATAAACATTGCTGCCAAGGGCCTTTCCTCGGAACCTATGAGAGGTGACTTATCCAACCAAGAGATGATTAAAAACTCAGTAACAAACTTGCCAACAATGTAAGGTCTTCACGGAAGCAAGTCCCCCCGCAGTGGACAGCGGAAGCTTGCAAATGACGGTAGCTCTTGACAGCTTGACTGCAGCCTCATGAGATGCTCCCTGCTGACCCAGAACCTGCCTGCTGATCCACTCCTAGATTCCTCAGCCACAGAAACTGATAGAATCATTGTTTGTTTGTTTTTAAGCTGCTACATTTTAGGGTCGCTTATTAGACAACAGTAGATTACTAAAACAAGGCTTGAAAAATATTGAATTTGAAGATGTTGGAATGCTAGAATATAGAGGGTTTTTTTAAAGGAGAATTGTGGAAGTTCTGTGAATCCCATGGTTCCCCACAGGAAAGACTGAGGGATATCACCATAATCATGCATACTGATAAGGGCTGCCAGCAAACCACTGGGGATTGACATGTGCTCTCTGGCTTTACAGAACACCAAGACTCATGTTAGACCATGTCTGGAAATGGTGAAAGGCTGTGGCTGCATTGCTGCTCTGGGGCAGGATGGCGGTGGTTACCCTGAGAATGGCTTGCATGTGCAGTTTGTCAGGACAAGAGACAAAGGAATGCTTTTGCAGACGGATCTGGACCAGGCGAGAGAAAGGAGCAGCTGGGAGATATCTCAGAGACTTCAGTCCAAGGAAACACATGAGGGAGCCGTGGAAACCAACAGTAGGAATCTATATAAGGTAGACCACCACAGCTGGATGCTTAGAGGAAAGGGCCATTCATCTCATTAAGGAACTGTAGGTGGGACATTCTCAGTGAATGAGGGGATCACTGAACAACCCAGAAATATACTCCAAGAAAAAGAGCCAGCAATTAATAGCTCAGATGGTCACTGAAAAGAAAGAACCCCACCTCTTCGCTGTAGGAGGGGAAACCATACTGGAACACGGGGAGTTAAAGGCAAACTGCAGGTTGAGAAAACCGGAGAAGGAATTGACCACAGCACCCCTTCCACACCGAGCCTGATGCAGAACAGAAGAGGGGTGGGGGGAGCTTTAACATCCGTAAGCATCAGCGTTTTGACTAGTACATGGAACTGTAATTAATTAATGTAAGGGATCCTTCATTAATTATCAACACAACAAAAGCTCTGTAATTCTAACCCAGACCTTCAAACATTGGGCACTTCTGAGTGGTAACATCACAGCAGATAGTATCATCTCAGGTAAAGTAAGAAACCAGCTTCCAAAGCCAAACTGTTATACAGCAGCATAACATACCATTTTTGTTCTACTAAGTATGATCTCATATAAGCTGCATATATTTTAAACCACTTTTATTTTTTTACTTATCTTTATTGTTGAAAGTATTACAGATGTCCCCACCCTTTCCCCCCCTTGACCCCTCCTCTCTGCTCTACACTACTATTTAAAGTTTCTGGATTTATCTCTTCCTGCCCCAACTTCCCACTTTTTAAAATATTTTAAACCATTCTTAGAATAACTGATAAGCCATTATTGGAATTTAGCTAAAAATTAAGAACCATAATACATTTTGAGAAAAGTGCAGCATACTGTTAAATAAATTCGCTTTCATTTTTTTCTCTTTTATCCTAACATCAGATATTCATTGTTAAATAAAAAGCTTTAGACTTTTTAAAAATTATAATAAATATACAAAAATTAAAACAAATAGATAAAGAAGATTTGATTACACTACCTTGGAACAGGATGCTCTCGATGACAGAGATGTAGTAGTCGGGCTCCTGCTCAGTTGAGAGCTCCCATCTGCCTCCAGAGATATTTAACAATTTGTAGAGCTGATCTGAACTCGCCACCCCACACAGCAGGGTAACCACACTTTCTGGTGAATAAAGTACCTTTTCCAGGAACTGACATTTCTTTGGAGTTAGGTATTCAAGCAGGCTATCTGATAGTATCAAAAGTTTGCATTTGTAAGAGATTAAACTCAGCAATTCCGAATCCTGAAGAGAGGAATTCTCCAAGCGGTGTAACAGGATTGCTTCTCTTTTCACAACGTGTGAAAAAACTTCCCTCAAGTACAGAGCCCATTCCTCAGCATCTTCTTCATATATCATTATAATGTCTTTGGTATTTTCTGGAAAAAGAGAAAACAATACATTAATGTTCTTATATTTAGAATGCTAACAGATGCTTCTATTGTTATTTCTCAAGAAATGGAATGCGTTCTTTAAGGATTGTATTAATTTGCTTCTACTGGAGACTAATAAAATAATTCATGTTATGCTCATCATAATCATATGAGATTCAGCTAATCCTTCAGATGCAACACAGGGCATGCTTTGTGCAAGTCTATACGATACTCACCATACAGCTGAATCCAGGATGCTCAACAGAGTGCGTGAGAGGCCTGGTGGTAGAATGCAGAGATACTCTATGGGATTAGGGGCACGGGGCTACTACTAGGCTCTGCCAGTAACCACAGTGTTACCTAGATTATAATATTTAACTTATCTGAGCCATTGTGTCTTTTACTAAATGAAGTTTTGGGGTTTTGTTTTTTGTTTTTAAAGCTCTACCTAAAGAATAGGATTATTCTGAGAAGAAATGAGAGAATGTACATTAGAGAACTTTAAAATCTTTCTTCCAGGTCAGGACAGGTATATAAAGACAGATTATAGAATGTCTATGCCTGGAAAACCAACATAATTAAAAATTTAAAAAGAATTCAATAGCAGACAAACCAACAAATAAATAAAGCAGTACTGTCTCATGTCATAAACTAAAAAGTTGATCCTGATAAAACAAATAGAAAGTTCTGGTGGGGAAGCATAATCCTACAGGTGTCTCCCACTGTAGAACTAGTACTGACGAAAACACTGGAGTCACCAGAACCACCGGCTTTTCTCACGATATAAAGATTAGCTCTGAAGACAGAGGCTCTCTTTCAACTCACTGATTCCTACACAATGACTAGCACAATTTCTTGAACAGATATTCCACAACTTTTTAAAATATGTTTACATATACCAAATGAGAAAAAAACATCTGGCAGAAAAATCTGAGAAGCACACATTAGTTGTGTATGAATCACCAGGATAGTTGCTATGTGCTCTGTACTGTCTCACCCAGACTGGATGCTACATAAATATTTGTTGAGCAAACACAGACATGGTGTCATAATTCAGTATTTGTATGTGTCAGGAACAGCAGAGGAAGGCGTTCTTTATATTATAACTAGCCAGAGTAACTGCTGTATGGTTATACAATAATTGTAGTACAAATAAAACTAATATTTTTTTATTAAATTTTTATTGTTGAATGTATTACAGATGTTCCTCATTTTTTCCCCATTGACCTCCCCCTCCCCATTCCCGCCCCCTCCCACCTTTTCCCACACTACTCTCTGTGTCCATTGGTTATGCATATAAGTTCTTTGGTTTATTTCTTCCCACCCCCTAACCCTTTTCCCTTTGAGGTTTGTCAGACTAGCAATGAATTTGTACTTCTTAATCCCTTCACCTTTTTCACCCATTCCCCCAACCCCCTCCCATCTGGCAACCAACAAAATGTTCTCTGTATCTATGAGAATGTTTCTGTTCTGCCTGTTCATTTTGTTTGTAGATTCCATTGTTGATAGATATGTATTCATTGCCATTTTGTTTGTTCATATATTTTATCTTTTTCTTCAAAAAGACCCTTCATCATTTCATATAATAACGAGTTGGTGGTGATGAACTCCTTTAACTTTTTCTTGTCTGGGAAAGTTTTCATATGTCCATCGATTCTAAATGACAGCTTTGCAGGATAGAGAAATCTTGGTTGTAGGTTCTTGGTTTTCATCACTCTGAATATTTCTTGCCACTCCCTTCTGGCCAGCAAAGTTTCTTTTGAGAAATCAGCTGACAGCCTTATGGGAACTCCCTTGTAGGTAACTAACTGCCTTTCTCTTGCTCCTTTTAAGATTCTCTCTTTGTCTCGAACCTTTTGCATTTTGATGATGATGTGTCTTGGTGTGGGCCTCTTGGGGTTCTTCTTGTATGGGACTCTCTGTGCTTCCTGGACTTGTATGTCTGTTTCCTTCACCAAGTTAGGAAAGTTTTCTGCCATTATTGTTTCAAACAGGTTTTCAATTTCTTGTTCTCTCTCTTCTCTTTCTAGCACCCCCAAGATGCGAATGTCGACATGCTTGAGGTTGTCCCAGAGGCTCCTTACACTATCCTCATTTTTTTAAATTCTTTTTTCTTTTTGCTGTTCTGATTGGATGTTTTTTGCTTCCTTATATTCCAAATCGATGGCTTGCTTCTTGGATTTACGTACTCTACTATTGAATCTGTGTAAATTATTCTTTACTTCAGTTAATGCCTCCTTCATTTCTGACTGTGCATCCATCATTTCTGACTGGTCCTTTTTTATGCTCTTGAGGCCCTCACTAAGTTCACTGAGGTTCTCACTAAGTTCATTGAGCATCCGTATAAGCAGTATTTTGAACTCAGCATCTGTTAGGTTGCTTATCTCCCTTTTGCTTAGTTCTTTTCTTGGGGTTTTGTTCTGTTCTTTCATTTGGGACCTGTCTCCTCATTTTGGCTGCCTCCCTGTGTTTGTTTCTGGGTATTACTTAACGAGAGGTATGGGGCTATCTGAGACCAGATGCTGCTTGTTTGAAAGAATTTAGCAAAACCTGAAGCAAGATCCAAGACAGGCCAATCCTATGGTTAAGCAAGTGGCAACAGCTTGGGTGGGCCTGAAAGTTGGGTGGGGCAGGGTCTCAGGGAATCACCAGGGCGGAGCAACCAGTGTGAGCCAGGTTGCTGGAGTCCCAGATAAGGCGGCTGTCTGCTGCCCCAGGAAGGGCTCACCAAAGAGACAAAGGCCTCTGACAGTACGTTTGTCCCAGAGAAAGCCCCCTCTTCAGCCCTTGCTCCAATGCCAAACAGCTCAGTTCTTCCCTGTATGTCTCTGGTGCCCCTCGAGCTGCCTCCCCTCCGAGCTTAGAGGGAGAGAGACCGATAAGTCCGTGCGCGGGCCCTTTAAGGAGCTGCCTGGGGCTCCAGCCGCTTCAGCTTTCCTGAGCCTCAGTTTCTGCTGGTTTTTCCAGCCAGAAGTTATGGGGATTCTCTTCCTGGCACTGGAACCCTGAGCGGGGCACCTGGTGTGGGACAGGGACCTCTCAGTCCTCAGGAAGGACCTTCCCAGCCGAGGTGTCCTCCCGATTTTTATCCGCCACACGTGGGTGTGGGACCAACCCGTCTGCCGCCACCCCTCCTACCAGTCTTGATGTGGCTGCTGCTTTAATTCTGTAGTTGTAGGACTTCCATTCAGCTCGATTTCAGGCAGTTTTGAATGATGGTTATTTCATAGTTTAGTTGTAACTTTGATGTAGTTGTGGGAGGACGTGATACCGCGTTTACCTACGCCGCCATCTTGACCGGAAGTCACTAATAATATTTTTAATTATCAGGTGCTTAACATAAACTAGGAATCTTCATGATTTACATACATGATTCACTTAATTCTTAAAATTGCCTTATTAAGGTAGTAATATTATTCTCACTTTACAGATAGGAAAATGAAATTGGTATTAGAATTAGAATCCTAATGCAGGCAGTCTGACCCCACAGTCTGTACTTTTAACCACAAATAGCAGAGGACACAATAACATTACTTAAAAGATTCAAATAGATTCCTTGTAGCGAGATGAGCTAGATTAGTCAATATTAAACGGTCTATACATTAATCCCAAGTATGTGATGTATGTGAAAGTTTACTGGGAAGCTCATTTCCTCTCAAGGGCAAAAAGGAAACAGACTATGACACACTGCAAGAGTGGTTATCTATGAAGTATTAGAGTCCTTCTTGAGTCTAATATTTAAATCATTAAAATAATAGACTAAGCTATGAGGGTATATTAAAGTACAGCCTGGATACTTCCACTTAGATGGTTGGGTAGCATACTACCATAGAAAGACAACCACAGAAAATCAATTCTAGAGACAATCATAACCTCGCTGTCAAAACTGCCCAAGAAAATTAGTCTTTCTCAATACTTTATGGCCATTTTTTCATGTTGAAATTGAGTTTTCCTTTTAAATTTGTATAGACTTACACTTAGCCAATAATTGCTGTTTGACAGTGTTTAAAAACCTGAGGATTAGCATTAAATGCAACCCCTTCCTTTTTTTTTATAGATGAAATTATTCGGGTCTTTTAATCTTTAATTTTCTCAATTGTTATTTACTAAGAGTTTCCATGTACCAGGTATGTTGCTAAGCATTTAATATTCACAAATTGTATGAAGTTAGCTTTATTTTTCTTATTTAACTGACAATCACATTGAGCCTCAGTGAGGTTAGGTAATTCATCAGGGCCATGAAGATAGTAATTGGTATTTCTGCTGCCTTCTAATCTTTTTGTATAAAACCGTATTGAGTCAAACTACAAAAGTTAATAAAAGGCCTTTTCATAGCCATATTTTTTTTTCTTTATCCTAGAAAATACAAACTTGTCCTTCAGTAACATCTGAACCGTAGATCCAACAATAATTATCTGTGGAGTCTCAAGAGGGACCTATGGGCCCTCAATGCACTTCCTTTTATACACTTAAATTAAATCAAATGTAAGTCATTATTCTGCCCATTTAAGGAAGGTTATTGTCACCAAGATTGGCCAATTTCAATAGGCTGTGAAATAAAACAGTAAATAATGAGCCTCAAATATAGAAAGCAAAATTTTCATTCCTGGAAAGCTTCAATTTGCAATTAAGGACTCAAATAAATTATTTAAAATGTAAATCTCCAATCTAGCAACATAAAGTTAATGACAGAATTATACAATGAAAGGAACAGAATAGAGCCATATTAATTTTTAAAAATTTACTATAAAGTGTTCTTTCATATTTCATAACGATGCTTTATTTATCTTGCAAAATACTATAACAAATCCTTAAAGATTAAGGTAGTTTATATCAATAATTGATATCAATAATTGCTTTTGCACCAAGAGATTATACTACATTTTGCCAAAAGAATGAGACTGATCATAAATTATAATCCTTCCTAGTTCATATTCACAGCTTCAAATGATAGATTTTCTTCTTTTTGAATAAGATCTCGTCTCTTACTCATGTTTGATTACACA